GTGTGTGTGTGTGTGTGTATATGTGTGTGTGTGTATATATATATATATATATGTATATATATATGTATATATATATATATATATATAACAGATAATCCTTTGTCGAGAACTTTATACAGGAACTTCGTCGAAAGCGGAAGCTTATAAAAGAACAACGGTACATTGACGGCCTTTGTCCGACAAGTAGAGCACCGTTCACTAGGAGTGTACCTACTTTGGCTACACAGTGGCAACGAATAGTACAAATATAATTTTGACAACGAACCGTCTATTTTCGAATTCTCGTTGGCTACTACGAGTATTTATCACAACAAACTGCGCTGACTATAAAGTATACAAAAAAATTCGTAATAGCGAAGCAAGCGACACGCGGGACTATCGCAAGGAGACATATGTATCACATATAAAACTAAGAAGGATTTTAGAGTAAGTTTTCTAGCGGGTGATCAAGTGTTGTCAGCACAGAAAGGGCTTGGAACGCTAACTGATCTAGCAGCTGGTTATCTCATCTTTTTCACTTGGTACAGTACAATGTGATATTTCACACTTTTGTTTGACGCCCAGTTCAGCTAAAAAGAAGTTTCTAAGGTAGGACAAAGCCAATGAGAGCATATAATCGTGTAGTTGCTATGTATTTGTTCAGAATTTGTTGGTTGCAACTACACCTTGCACAGGGTGGGATTAACTATTAATGCTGGGCACTGCTTCTTGTGGCTCTTTGTATTTATTAGTGTGCGCAGCTTAGCAATACTTGTCTCAGCAACATACTCGAAGATGGTTCCTTCTTGTGGTTCTTTGTATTTATAAATGTGCGCGGTTTAACAATACTTGTCTCGTCAGCATAAACGAAGGTGGTCCTATGCTTTTTTGTGTTGCTTCATATGAGGCGGTTCAAGCAATGAATCGACCGTGAGTGCGCGTGCACTGAGTGCCGAGATTCGTTGCTTCAAGGGCAGTTGATTGTGCAGGGTCATCCTTTCCTTTAGTATTCGTGTCAGCAAAAAATACGGTGCATCAGGCATACTTCTTGCCGGTAAAACTGGCGCTGCAGGCATATAACCATACCTGCGTCGTTATATAGGTGCCTTCATTTGAATGCTTTGTCGCATGTAAAGGTACGGAATTGACAAGATCATATGATGTATATCGTCTATGAATATGAAATTTGCACGGTGACAAATACTGACAAGTGTTGGTCTAAGCCATGACATTGTTTGCATTATGAAAACGCTCGTACCGTGGTATCGAACGTCAATTTGGTTTTGTTTTCTTCTTCTTTTTTACGTTCTCAATTGTTGTCGTAAACCCTTTCTTTAATCTCGTCATTTTCGTA